CCCTGTTTTATTGAAGTATTGAGTTTAGATTATGATTATGTTGATATTTTAGTATCAATTTCATGGTTATCGATAATTGCAATCCATCAACGAAACTAGACCTCCCCCGCTGACGTCATACCTCTAGTCATCCTAATTATCAATCCTATACAATGCAGTATCCTTTTAATCAACCAATCATTCAATTTTGCTCAAAGACGTCACAATAGTGGAGAACGGAATGATGTAAAAACAACAACATTTCTGGAACTGACCCAGAGTTTGTCAATGTCAACGTTATGAACATTTCATTTTCTCATAAAGACCACGTGTCAATTCATCAACCTGCTTCATGTTAATATTTTTACTTGTTTTTTATATGTGAAGTATATCAATGTTATATTTTTTTCATTTCTAAATTAGTATTGAAAGGTGCCATTCAATTGTACTTGTGTGTAACCTACATTACACCTCATCTTTGCTGAAACCCAAGCATGAGTGCATATATTTCTTTATGAAATTCTCGTTAAATAATTTGAACTTCCCATTTTCATCTTTTGCCTCAGTACAATGAATAGTAAACAAAATCCCATGACATACTTAGTATGAACTACAAATTTACATATATGTCTATATGCATAACGGATATGACATGCCGGTCAACAACAAAACAGTCCGGTCAGTGACCAGGGTTATTCTCCGGACACGTTCTAATCAAGTAATGATGATCAACATTAGTTATCTACCGGACATCTTGTGACTATTCCGAGCGTTTGATGGATGTTGTGCCAAGCAGTTATGATAACTTAATGAGATGAGTTAATTACAATTACGGTCACTTTTTTTACTATATTTTGTCCTGATTATTTTCTACACGATTATTTTTATAAAAAATAGTTATGTTGAGGCACGGTTTAAGTAATTAAAGATTGTATCTATAACCTTACTCTTAGGTATTATATTGCATATGTATATTAACACTGATGAAATTATAGTAAAACATTAGGGAAATAAAGTCCAACACATGTCACCTAAATTAATTAATTAATTAATTAATTAGTCATATAAGTGAGCATGTTTTTTACTATATGCATATCTCTCGGACAAAATCACATTCACACGTTCACATGCTACGTACACTTTTAGAAAACATTGTAACCTAAATAATATTCTGTACTAAAACTCCTTATTGATTATTTGCCTGACTAAACTTACAATGTTTTTCATCTTCCAAACTCCTTCCCGTTTAAGAACGAAACCTATGGAGAACTAATGAAGAATAATTGAAATAATTTCTAGTTACTTATAGATCGCTTTTCAATTTTATTAATTAGAGGTGACACTAAGGTATTTTAGGTTTAATTTACAATACTCTTCTAAACAAACGAACTTTCGACCTCCAAGTCATTTGTCAGAAAAATTACAATTTTTAGTTGTTATGATAATAATATATGTTTGAATAAAGAAAAATGAATCATTTTTTATTCAATATTAACTCTTAACAAGAATTTGAGCTTAATTGACCTATTCAAACGACACCTGTCAAAATCTTCTCGTACTGAAGTCATTTAACTGGTTGTATTATTGAAACGTCTACAAAGAATGTTTGAGGTGGTAATCTAACGATTAATATGACAGATATAGTGGATATTTTATTAGGAAGGTACATGGTACCTTACAATATTGACATAAGCTATTCATATGTGGTTTTCTGTTGAACAAAAATATTTTTCTAATGTCTTTGTAAGTATAATTATTGAAATTTGTTCGGCCTGTTGAAATAAATCCGACACGCATGATTGAAATGAACGTTTTTTAAACGATCATGGAACTTGGTAGTTTATAACTAAACTGTCGTTTCTCATTTCGTCATATGAGAAGATATTTGATATAGGATTTTTTGCATAATTATAACATTATCCTATGTACGAGTAATTTGATGTTTTTTTTTTAAAAATAAATTCTGCCGCTTTTATGACACTTAAAAGGTCTTTTTTTTCGTTTCTATCTTTAACTTTCTGGTTAATAATTAATCAAACCTATCGTTAGAGCAGTTTGACCAATTAGCATAAACATGATATCTGTGTACATTATTACTATGTAGTGTTATTCAAAGGGAAGTTGTAAAAAATATTTCAATAATGATAATAATACGAAGAAACAAAATCTGTTATTCATTTTAAATAATCACCCATACTTGTCATTATGCCATCTGCAGCAACAAGATTGAAACCCCCCCCCCCCCCCCCCCCAAAAAAAAAAAAATAAAATAAAATAAAAAAAAGAGCAGTCTCCTGCATCTTTAAGTACGTTTCGTTCCCAGACCAGGTATCTAATTAAGATAGATCATTTATATGAAGTATTAATACCGTTTTGATCATTTACACTGAAAGTTTATCAACTGTTTGAACAAGAATTATAATCTCGATCCGACACGTCAGAATGGATATATCCTTATGCATGCTAGTTTACAAATAGTTTGATTGAGGACCCCGAGGCTAGTGTTTGGTAGGGTGGAAATTTTTATTATAGACACAAACTGCATTAAAAGGTTTAAATAAATTGGTATTCGTTCCACTACCTTCTTATGACACATCACTTGACCACATTTATATAAAGACATCCATTATAGACACATCTTTAGCGACAGAAAATGAAAGTGCGTGACATTTAGATATATAGGCATATCTCTACTGCTAGCTAACAATTTCTCTGGCTAATTAGAGAATTTTTTTTTACAAAAAATCGCTATCAAAAACGTGACATGTATTTGAAGACGAAAACTTAATACAATTTTCTCTATGTATTCGATTCGGGACCTACGTTTTATTATATCTAAAAACTAAGAATATCATCACTGCTTAAAAATCTCACAATGAAATAGAAAATAATCCCAAAATATTCTTATACTAATAACAATTAACTTATCTCTTTGCTTGTAATACATTTAAGAGATGAGGCAAGTATTATCGAGGTTTGTTTATCATCATTAAGCGGGAAGTCGTTGATTTTTTATTGTTCTAAAACTGCGTTAACTCTTTATGAGTGTGACATTAGAATGTCTCAAATGACAACTGCTAGATGAAATTTTGTTAATTACGTAAAATGAATAGAACACCTTAATGAAAAAAACACCGATGTTTCGCCATTTAAATTCCAATCTCTTTCACAACTCAATATATATACACACATACATATATAGGGCAAATTAGATTCACGTAGTCCCCAGAAATAATTTATATCAAACTGGTAACTTTATATTATGAATTTGACTAAAAATGGAATCACATTAGTTTTCTTTAATTTAAATCTCCTACGTATATAATGGTAAGGAGATATGACATTCTGGCCACTACACCAGTATACTTGTAAATCAATTCAATCATCGGGGTTTTAATGAAACGATAACAAATTCACTCAAGCAAATGTTTCAAGCTTCGGTAAAGAGCTTCCAGCTATAAGATGTACACGATATATACATTCAGTCATTAAAGACTGAAATCTTTGTATATACAAAGATTTAGAATATTTCTATAGGTTACCGTGTCGAAGTTGATAAGTGCTCACGTGTTTTCTTGTTGAAACATACAGCGTTAAACATTCTTGTTCCGAAAGACGAGCTATTTCATTCTTCAGATGTAATCTTGTCGTGTGTACCTATATATTACCTGTATACATATTCGTGTCTCCAATCTAAGATAAAGACAAACCACTCACACTGTTTTAAATGTGTCAATAAAAGTTCCATCATTATTGACATAAGATGACCTTTGACCACAGATTTCTCTTGATTGAAGATCGCCAAATTGTTGTCACTTGAACATACGGTGCTTAATTAAGACCGCGTCAAAAGATTTCAGACATATTCAAGTGTTATGATGACGTTTATGATATCACGTGCGAATTAATTCTGGACCAAAGACTTATCCGCGTGTGCTTCAAGATGTGCTTTGTTGAGTGCATTATTTGGATTTGAAGTAATTCTGATGTATATTCAATGGTGCCGTTTATGTTATAACTTAATTGTTGAAGTGTTACCAATGTGTATTCGAAGTTTCTTGGTAAATGGATAATATCTGGAATCTCGATCAAATGCTGCACTGTCAGCTATGGATTTAAAATATATTTTCATTAAATAACGAGTCTTGTCGCCGTTTCCTCATTTTGAACTATATGTTGATAGTTTATGTAGAAGTCCCATCCAAAGCTTCGTCAGTTATATATACAGATAAGGATAATGAACACTTAATTTCTCAAACGAAGGCTGGTAACTTTGAACAGAATATTTCAACAGTGGTGTATCCTAGTTTTGGATTTTATCATTATTTGAACAGAAAGATATTTCAGGGAGTCCATCATTTTTGTCAACGTATCGGATTTTATGCAAATTCACACAACGGATAATTACTTTGTGATTCGGTGATAAGATATTGTTTAATGTTATGTGTATTTACTGTGTCATGCTGAAAACTGTTTGATGAGTGAGTGACAACACATTAAGTATAGCGTGGTAAATCTGTCTTGAGTATTTCCACGTCAAATCTCTTGACCTTGTACACACTGGTTTCAAGTGTGGGTTTTACTGTGCAATCAATTCTCTCCTTCCAGTATGAAGGCTAATTGATCCCATGTTCGGTTGTAAGTGGAGAGGATAACGCCATGTCACAACTACCGAGGAGACATTACTTTTAAAACGTATTTTTTTGAAGCTTCAGACATCGTTTGATTTTTTTCCAGTTCTGAGCCGAGAAATACGTAATTTATTGATTGACATTAGGCGGGGATACACCGTGCTAGGACTGGAATATAAGACACCATATTTCTACCGCGGAGGAGCTTAATTTCAAAGAGGTTTTTTTTGACAGACCGATCATGTATCCTTATTAATAACAAAAATACAAGGATATAGTTTAATTCATTTGAAAAAACATCCTCGTATATTGTACGAGACAGCAACAGAATGGACGTATAACCACATACAAGTGCTTGACAATTTTAACCAAATATGAATCTTCTTTCAGTTGAAGCGAACAGCGGCTTTCAGTTCCCGCGTCATGGCAGATCTTTGGGCAATGTTTTGGACATTAATAGACGATCGTCAATAACCGGAAGTACTCCAGGTGCTAATTTACAGAGAAGAAATTCTAAAACATTCAGCACAATAGCAAGATTCGCTCAGCTAGGAACAAAACACAGACTTATCAGGTCCACGGGTGATGACACAGGTAATGACGTCATGATTCCGACGGAACGACTTCGGCGTGGGACGGTTCATGGCACGTCCATGGCCCTCACAAACGGAAGTAGATTGCCAAGCAAGCGCAGAAGTGATCCTAGTGCAAATGCTACTTCCGGCTCACAGGACAACAAACTTTTTCTTCTCATGCATTTGTCTGCATTGGAAAGAAAAAAAGCGTCAGCTAAGAAGTCGGTGAGTGACAAAGAAATATCGTAATATTTGATAATGATTGAATTGTTTCATACTCAAAATTCTATACTTTGACCTTGACCTTATACTCAAAATTCTATACTTTGACCTTGAACTTATACTCAAAATTCTATACTTTGACCTTGACCTAATACTCAAAATTCTATACTTTGACCTTGACCTTATACTCAAAATTCTATACTTTGACCTTGACCTTATACTCAAAATTCTATACTTAGTGACCTTGGTAATATGGATATATCATACTTACACGCTGGAAATATCTGATAATGATGAAGTCGTCTTTGGATGATAAAGGCATGATCTATACTATGAAACTAAATATCATTTTCTACTTTTTTTAACAGAAAACAGTCCACAAGTTCCGTATGTGGGCCTCCATTTGTATCGTCCTGCACAGAAAACACAAACGGCTGATCCAAGTATGGTAAGCTTATCTTTCTTAACTATACCTCCTCAAAGAATATTTGCTTGTCGCCTTTTTCGAATATCAATTTGAGCGGTCTGGATGTCACATCAAGGTAGAAGCAATGAAGTTTTTCTTCAAAAATTCAAAACTTGAATGCACTTCTAAACATGTACATAACGACCCCATCGTTGTGTTCCTACCATCATAAAAGATGGAAGACATGCTTGCAGTTTCATTGCTTTCCCTCTATATTTCATGTCTGTAATTGAAGAAAGTTTGGGTATAATGTGTGAAATCTTTTATTTATTTGTGTGTTTTGTAAAAGTTACCACACGACTTTACTCCTAATTATGTAGATATTTACTGAAAAAATGTCATTTGTGATGAGATAGACAACAAACTGATTTCAAAATGCATTTATAGTCAATTTGAATATCATAAGTTTTTATAGGAAATACTAGTACACTTTATGAATATTTCTTTATGTCGATACATGGCAGACTTTATTATTCGATGAACGTCATGGTGATAGAATGGCCCAGTGGGGACACATGAATTCACTTACTACGTACCCCTGTCCTCCCTCCCCCCTCCAAACAGTAAGACCATTATCACGCTTCTATGCGAGCTAACCAAAGTGATTTACATATAATATATTGAAATAAATTGTTTGGTAATTGTTGTAAAACAAATCAATAAAAGTTTATATTTTCTAAAAAATTAAATTAAGTTTAATTAATGTTTTTCAATATGTATGTAATGAGAATCAAGATGAAAATTCTTAATTTCTTAATAATGGAAACTAAACATCAGAATCTACTTTTAGATATTTATTTTCAATCTAAATATTGTATATTTGATGGATAATTGAATTAAGATGTGCATCATGCAATAGTAATAAAAAAACCCTGATTAGGTGAACTGATTACCTTTCACAATGACAATATTCCCCACTAGATGAAAATCCGTTTATTAAATTGAAAACTTTTCATGTATACGAAATGCTATACTCTGATGCTAATGCTGTTTTCTACAGGATAATCCAATAATTGTCTATAGTAAACAACTTTATTACAGTAGATAAATATCTAATCGGTCAGTTGTTGACTTCTACTAAACAAACACGCTGAGCCTAAATCTTCCTCACGTCAACAAACAACGTTACATAATCCGTATAGCGTATCGATTTTGTCTGGAATATATTGAAAACAAGACACCGTTTAGAGCAGTATTAGCGGGTTAAATACACGTGCTCAAATTAATGGTGTTATTTATTTATCGATCTGTGTAAATATACATCCATGGTTTTTCTAAATCATATATTTTAGCAGATAATCACTTGTTTAAAATGAAAAAGTGAACTTCTATTCTGAACAATCAAATCAATTCTAGTCACATAACATTCACCTTCTTGTAAAATCCGCTGTCATATCTCACTGATTCTTTATGTAAAATACATCAAATATGGATATATTTTAAGTGTGGAAATGCAGTTTCATCCCAGCTTGGTAAAGACTGCTTTGGAATATCATTTTAACATGATCCTACACAAGATACTGGGCAACCCGGGTCATTCGTATGTTGAATGTCTCAATTATATCTCGCCCGCACCAGTATGGTGTCGCTATATCAGGGTTCTTCTGTATATATTATATAGCATGGACCGTACTAGTATGGTGTCGCTATATATGAAGGTTCTTCTGTATATATTATATAACATGGACCGTACTAGTATGGTGTCGCTATATCAGGGTTCTTCTGTATATATTATATAACATGGTCCGTACTAGTATGGTGTCGCTATAACAGGGTTCTTCTGTATATATTATATAACATGGACCGTACTAGTATGGTGTCGCTATATATGAAGGTTCTTCTGTATATATTATATAACATGGACCGTACTAGTATGGTGTCGCTATATATGAAGGTTCTTCTGTATATATTATATAACATGGTCCGTACTAGTATGGTGTCGCTATATATGAAGGTTCTTCTGTATATATTATATAACATGGACCGTACTAGTATGGTGTTGCTATATATGAAGGTTCTTCTGTATATATTATATAACATGGACCGTACTAGTATGGTGTCGCTATATATGAAGGTTCTTCTGTATATATTATATAACATGGACCGTACTAGTATGGTGTCGCTATATCAGGGTTCTTCTGTATATATTATATAACATGGACCGTACTAGTATGGTGTCGCTATATCAGGGTTCTTCTGTATATATTATATAGCATGGACCGTACTAGTATGGTGTCGCTATATATGAAGGTTCTTCTGTATATATTATATAACATGGACCGTACTAGTATGGTGTCGCTATATCAGGGTTCTTCTGTATATATTATATAACATGGACCGTACTAGTATGGTGTCGCTATATATGAAGGTTCTTCTGTATATATTATATAACATGGACCGTACTAGTATGGTGTCGCTATATCAGGGTTCTTCTGTATATATTATATAACATGGACCGTACTAGTATGGTGTCGCTATAACAGGGTTCTTCTGTATATATTATATAACATGGACTATATATCAGGGTTGTTCTGTATATATTATATAACATGGACCGTACTAGTATGGTGTCGCTATATATGAACGTTCTTCTGTATATATTATATAACATGGACCGTACTAGTATGGTGTCGCTATAACAGGGTTCTTCTGTATATATCATATAACATGGACCGTACTAGTATGGTGTCGCTATATATGAAGGTTCTACTGTATATATTATATAACATGGACCGTACTAGTATGGTGTCGCTATATATGAAGGTTCTTCTGTATATATTATATAACATGGACCGTACTAGTATGGTGTCGCTATATATGAAGGTTCTTCTGTATATATTATATAACATGGTCCGTATAGTATGGTATCGCTATAACAGGGTTCTTCTGTATATATTATATAACATGGACCGTACTAGTATGGTGTCGCTATATATGAAGGTTCTTCTGTATATATTATATGACATGGACCGTACTAGTATGGTGTCGCTATATATCAGGGTTGTTCTGTATATATTATATAACATGGACCGTACTAGTATGGTGTCGCTATGTATGAAGGTTCTTCTGTATATATTATATAACATGGACCGTACTAGTATGGTGTCGCTATATATGAAGGTTCTTCTGTATATATTATATAACATGGACCGTACTAGTATGGTGTCGCTATAACAGGGTTCTTCTGTATATATTATATAACATGATCTGTACTAGTATGGTGTCGCTATATATCAGGGTTCTTCTGTATCAAAACGCTATAGTATTTCAATAGCTGGATTTTCCTTTTTTAAAACTGAATTCAGCATTATCATCAGAAAACATAGACATGTATATATTTTATATACGTTACAGGAACGAAGACACCGCCTACCATAAACAGATGGAGGAGATTGATCAGAGTCTGGAGGCCGCGGAACAGACGGGTGTTATTAGTAACAAACGGCTTAACACCGACTACTTCAAAGCAGACAAACAGGTATCATTGTCAATAGATCCTACTCCAATATAGAAAGTCCTAGACTGGAACGAGGGTCCGTCTGGTACCGTCGGATAAACAGGTCCTTTATTTTCTGTCAAGTAATCCTGGTTAAAAACGTATAAGAATACTATATACTTTAATCATTTTAAAAAATTGCTTTAAATGTTAATTTCAAAAGGTAATTTATCTCTTAAATGATGATTGTACAAAAACATCCAAGTGGATAGCTCATGTCAACACAGAGAGACAGGCATTCATTTTTTCTTTTCATTAAAGAGATTAAAGTCAAATCGTGTATATGTGTGTTTGTGTGTATACGTTTCATTTTACATACAGATATCGTTCATAAACAAAAAAAAAAAATACTGAAATTAAGAAACAGTTATTTATCCATCTAATGTATCAATCAACTCTGTACTCGCACATTTGATCGATCTTCAAACAAAAAAATCATACTGTTCTTTGTCATCAAGATGTAAATTTAGAATTAGATACAACACAGCCAAATGATAAATTAAGATGCATCATACAGCTATTTGTCCTGCATCATACAGCTGACTCGTCCCTTTAGGATTCGTCAGTGATGCCAAGGGCCTAAATACTTAATCCTGCGGAAATGTCAAAATCTAGATTGTGATTTCCATGTAAACAGTCGAACCTCATTGTCTCGAACTCATATAACTTAGAACATGGTTATCTCGAAGTTTCCTCATGGTCCCACCGAGTTCGAAATAACGATGTTTTAGTATATATGATGATTGCTGATTTAAGTTTTACTTACATTTCTCTTAGATACGAAACAAATGTTCTGCTTTTTCAATGCTTATTTATTTTGTTTTAAAATTAATTGATGCCCAGGCATCTAAACCTGATACACAATTACATATATTTGTATTTCTTCAAACCATTTCCTAATAAAATTTGTGTAAATGGATTGTCAGTTGCCCTCTAAAGGTATGCAGTTGAAAACATCCCTGTTACAGTTTTGTATAAATTCAACACATTAAATAGGAAATATTTTTGACGTACTATACTTTAGAAAATATCTTTTCTCATCTGAGAACGTGACATTACTTACTTGGATTGTCAAATGTTTACATAGTGGGCGTTATCGATGAAGCACAGGACGCTTACTCTTCAAGAACACCTGGTCTTTTCTCCTTGTACTTTTTCAAGAGTCTCCGTGTAAATTTTTCTTTTATTCATGATTTACCCTAGTTTTATTGAATTTGTGTTTCTTTGTTGCTCTGTATTGTAGATGCGAATGTCGCAGGAAGGACGCCGGACTTTGACGAAACCTTCAGATGAACGGACTCAAGCCGAGATACACCATGTGAGTAGACAGTCTCTTTACATATACATAACTCTATTTTTTATTGTTCTATTTTTTCTAATTTCGTACAATTATATATTTGTTTAAAACTGCAAATAAATTAAAGCGAAAAAATATTAAATTAATGAAAACAAGAAAGTCACTATTTTGTTTCAGATATAAAAATCGCCCTTTAAAACAATGACAGTAAGACTATAGACTTGTTTCCTTTCATATTTCGCCATGATCAGAACTTGATCAGAGATGTTCCGAAAAAGTCTTATTGAGTTATTTATTTACCTAGCAATTTCAGTCAATCCTAGTCCTCTGGAACATCAAGAGATTAGGAGAATTAAAAAATGAATTATTTTTTAATTGATGAAACGTTCTCTTTGCTTTGTTATTTGCCCCCCTGAATGTAAAGATAAATGGGGATTTTATTATTAAAACATTGTCATATTCTGATATTTCAGTCTACTCTAGCCCTTCGGAATGTAAAGATAATTGGGGATTATTCATTAAAGATACAACAAGCATTCGCTAAAGTAGGATTTTTTGAAAGGTAAGTGATCTAATATAAAAACACAAACAAAAAATAACTTTCCCACTAAATCTTAAATCACCAATACAGCATTCTAGTGGAAAGTATTAACATATATACTGGTTTGCCATCAAGTATATTACGGTAGACTTATAAACTCCAATGATCGTTTTCATATCTTTTAAAAGTAAACCTAAAATGAATGTGAAACAGTTTCAGTATTTGAGTTCTGGCTAATTTTCACGCCACCACAATATCTGGTCTTTGTAACAAATGAACAATGAATTATATTTCATAAGATTACTAAATCAATTTGAATATCTTTTTTTATCTTTTACAGTTATGAAGCCAAACGATTCATTGTGAAGGAAGGTGGTACACCGGAGAATTACTACGTCATCATATACGGCCAAAGTAAGTCAACACTGTTCTTTTAAATCATCTATAAAACAGAGATTCAAGGAAAATTTAGAATCACCCATCACCTCGGCCATGTCTTACTCACTAATCACTATGCGTTATGTAGCTGTAAATGTAGATGTTGGTAAAAAGTTCTAGTCGACTAAGACCAGATGTTTTGGAAGGATAAGCTTATTTATCTATTACACTGTTCATGTAAATTTTGATTTTATTTTTCGATGGAGTATATTATGTTTCTTATAATTCTTTATTTTTTAGTAATTTAATTTTTTTTGTTCTTATTTAGTCATTATCGTGAAACTTGACGAACACAGGTCGACGGCCAAAACGCTAGTCAAGTTAAAAAGAGGAGAAGATTTTGGGGTAAGAGATAGTTCATTATTTCCTTTTTTTTTATATAAATTAAATATTTATTAAATGAAGAAAAACAGAGCTTGAGATGCTTGTCTTTTAAATATCACGTGTTTTTTTTTTTTTTTATTGAATATATATATATATATATACCATATATATTTTTTCCTTTTTGGGGACTTGAAGAAATGACGGTTACGTATTCAGGATAGTAGGAATTGGTATAATTTTGAAAGTTTAAAGTTATTACTTGGTTTGATGTTATGATTTACCATCTAGTTCTCCTAACTTTCTTTTTCTCTCAATTTCCCTCCTTTCCCATTCAGTCCTTCCTTTTTCCTTCTGTATGTTTTCCTCGTTATCCGTTAATAAATCCCGCACTCTTCATTCTTTGGTACACACTTGTTCTACTTATACTAGTTACGATGTCGTATGACAATGGGTACTAGTTCTGGTGTGGTATCATAGGGGATACTAGTTCCGGTGTGGTATGATGGGGGATACTAGTTCCGGTGTGGTATGATGGGGGATACTAGTTCCGGTCAGGTATGATGAGGGATACTAGTTTCGGTGTTTTTATTACAGTGGGTACTAGTTCCGATGTGGTATGATGGGGGATACTAGTTCCGGTGTGTTGTGAACTAGGTTTGATGGTTTTCTATTCTTTGTAAATCCACTTTTATCAAACTGACACATTTATAATTGATAAAAGAAGAATACTTTAAATCTAACGGGGACATAACTCCAAACGACTAGTTAAATTAATGTCACTAATAAAATTATTTAGCTTATTTGTTTTCATTTCTGAAGTAAAATTTGATCATTGTTTGAAGACTTACTGTTTGACTTACAGGAATTAGGGATATACCACGGTAAGCCGAGACAGGGTTCTATCATTACAGAAACCTATACCGAACTACTCCGGGTCTCCGCCGAGGTAACTACAGCCTTGTACTATTAATAGGTAATACGATGAATTGAATGTTTTAAGTTTTCTTTCTTATTTTGTTGTTGCTTATTACTTTATTTCTTTTTTTTTATTATATTTCAAAGGACTTCAAAACAATAGTGATGGGAGGAAATAGGCTCGATCCCGAAGTTGACCCTTTTTTACTGTAAGTTTCAGCATTCAAATCAGTTTATTAAAACAGAAGCATCCGATTTGCTTTTAATCATATTGTTAAAAAAAATGGACAGGATTTGGTTCTGCATTTATCCAAGAAACAGAATTCGTATATCTGAACGGAATTGTTAAAATATGGGTGAAGGGAGACAACTCCAAGCGACACGTTCCTTTATTTCAGCAACCAGAGTTTTCTACAAGGCTGGCCACTACCTGTACTAAAAGAACATCCGAAACAGTTCATGACCAGCTACGTCCAGTGAGTCACTTATAGATAGTATATGGTCAACGTCTTCAAATATAAATAATTAAGGAGGATTAAGAAAGAAAAAGTGACGAGCCTTTGTAAAACCACTTTTGTGTTTCGTTCTGATCTAGATAAATGCTTGTAAAATAATGGTCTTATATTCATCAATTCTTATAAGACAATATATCATGTAATCTATCTATGCTGCAATTTATATTGAATTAGACCAAATCACATGCGCTCAAATAATGGCTCAAAGTGAATATATAGTTCCAAACTTCAATGGATATGATAGCTGTTATCTCTATCGCAACCTTACAAAATGGTTGGATTTTTTCCCCTTTAGCATTTACCATCTTTTCTTCGAACTCTGACTAGATCTAGTTCAGTTTTAAGAAGGTTGATATAAAAAAATAATTGGCAATTTAAAACTTCTTGAGTTGAATATTGATACAGCAACAATAAATTCACATATTTGATATATATCTACCTCAGACGTAACACGGTCATGGAATTCGACAGCAGACGATCCGACTGGCTCTACATAGTCAAATCGGTGAGTGGAGAGTTACGTATAAGGGAAGATAAATAATGGTTTTGCCCGATACAATTTATTTTACAGAAGACAATGCATTTTACAATTTACGATTCACCGAAAGTACTAGAAGGCAGAAGCATTAATTAGTTACAGAAATCATAAGCGGAATTGGAAAGTTTCACATTTATTACTAATTTTACAATGTTTGACGTATCACAGGCACTTTGGGCGAATCTTATAAAAAGTTAACCATCATTTTCGTAACAACAGTTACTAAATATAATCGTGTATTAACAGTAGAATAGGGTATTAGTTAAAATAGTGTTTATTTCATATGAAATTTTATAAAAACGAGTCTCAGATTTCATTTATGCATATTAAATATATATGCTTTGGCGAAAAAAAATACTCTCAGACGAGCTTTATATAATTTCATAGAAAACAAATATGAAGATTTGAATCACATAAACCATAAAAGTTAATTTGAGAGGTTTTAAAGGAAGTAATTATTTGGAGGACGAAGTCAAACGGAGAGAGCCATTTTGTTGCGCCTTTTTCAAACCATGACGAATCGAAATTTTGCATATTATGATATTTTAATCGATTTCTGACTGGAAATAAAAAACAAATCCAGGATACATTTATATAAGCAAACATTTACATGGACATTTAACTGGACAATAGGCACATCACGTGATTAATTACGTAACAGTTCTGAAATTCTGATAATAATCATAAGAAAACACCGACAAGGCATTCTAGGGTCAATTTCTGTTTTGTAGGGTTCAATCAAGGTGCTTAAGAAGCTAGTGAAGACAATACCATCGGTCAGCCAGAGAACAGGACGACACGTAGAAAAGGCTCATACAAACGGATACCAGGCCTTCCTCGTGCGGGACACCGACTACAGCAGACACGCGCGCTATAACGGTATATCTTCTTAATTAGTCTTGTTTGCAATGTAACATCTTAAAAGACACGTTTTCCTTTAACATTGAACTGTCAGGAAATTTAGCTTCATTACGATCATATTATTAGGAATATTTTAGGAAAAGTGAACATTTCATATCTTTCATATATAACTGGCGAGACATTTGCATCGTGATTTTTTTTCTAATGCAAAGAGACATTGTCCTTAGGGTTGTATATTCCTCGAGCTTTGACCATGGAGAGTGATGATGATGAGAGTCAGGATGACCCTCTGTCGGCCAGGAGTAATCTAAGTGACGACATCAAATCCGCACCTCTCCTGGAAAGGTTGGAAAAAGTGCTCCGACCTTCCACAGCCTTCCACATGACCACGCCCAATTCCAAGCGTCTGCACAGATATTCAAAATCGGCCGTATATCGACGTCAAAAGGTATTGCCGTTATCACATAAAAAATAGTTACAATGTCCGTTTTCAATACGAAATCGCGTCCAAGCTTTGATTTTGATAAAAGGAAATTTTCAGTAGTGTTCTCCTATGCATACCAGGCTTCATGGTGTTTGCTACCAATACAAATCATGGGTAATTTCTTACATGTGTTTACCTTAGTTACACTTGTTTTGGATACCTCCACCAATAATCGAGATATAGCAGATATCGGGGTTATCTCCCTTACATCACAGTCTGATTTCCGGTTGTTTACTTGCAGACAAATGCGCGGACACTGACATCGACGACAGATTCACAGATAAATGAAAAAGATAAAGGTAAACAAATTAATTATCTTGAGGAAGATTTTAAATTACATTTTTTCAGTTTAATTTGTCTAAAATTCGTTGTTTTCTGAATTCAGAATTGAAAGGTTTGTATTGATGTTACAGCGGCCATCATTGACAATGTTTGAAATATTTAGATTTTCTGCTGTAATTGTTATTGATTTTTTTTTATATTTTCATAGAAAACGTGGAAAACCAGGACGTAAACGGAAATCCTGCGCCAGAAAAACGAGAGGGACGAAGGACGATTTTCGACGACTGGGACGCACAGTACAGACAGACGGTAGGTATCTACGTCATCTATTGTAGACACACACTACAGACAGACGGTAAGTATCTACGTCACCTATTGTAGACACACACTACAGACAGACGGTAGATATCTACGTCACCTATTATAGACACACACCACAGACAGACGATAAATATCTACGTCATCTATTGTAGACACACACTACAGACAGACGGTAAGTATCTACGTCACCTATTGTAGACACACACTACAGACAGACGGTAGATATCTACGTCATCTATTGTAGACACACACTACAGACAGACGGTAAATATCTACGTCATCTACTGTAGACACACACTACAGACAGACGATAACTATCTATGTCATCTATTGTAGACACACACTACAGACAGACGGTAAGTACGTCATCTATTGTAGACACACACTACAGACAGTCAGTAAGTACGTCATCTATTGTAGACACACACTACAGACAGACGGTAAGTACGTCATCTATTGTAGACACACACTACAGACAGACGGTAAGTATCTACGTCATCTATTATAGACACACACTACAGACAGATGGTAAGTACGTCATCTATTATAGACACACACTGCAGACAGACGGTAAGTACGTCATCTATTGTAGACACACACTACAGACAGACGGTAAGTACGTCATCTATTGTAGACACACACTACAGACAGACGGTAAGTACGTCATCTATTGTAGACACACACTACAGACAGACGGTAAGTATCTACGTCATCTATTATAGACACACACTACAGACAGATGGTAAGTACGTCATCTATTATAGACACACACTACAGACAGTCAGTAAGTACGTCATCTATTGTAGACACACACTACAAACAGACGGTAACTACGTCATCTATTGTAGACACACACTACAGACAGACGGTAAGTATCTACGTCATCTATTATAGACACACACTACAGACAGATGGTAAGTACGTCATCTATTATAGACACACACTACAGACAGATGGTAAGTATCTACGTCATCTACTGTAGACACACACTACAGACAGACGATAACTATCTATGTCATCTATTGTAGACACACACTACAGACAGACGGTAAGTACGTCATCTATTGTAGACACACACTACAGACAGTCAGTAAGTACGTCAGCTATTGTAGACACACACTACAGACACACAGACACACACTACAGACAGACGGTAAGTATCAAACACACACTACAGACAGACGGTAAGTACGTCATCTATTGTAGACACACACTACAGACAGTCAGTAAGTACGTCATCTATTGTAGACACACACTACAAACAGACGGTAAGTACGTCATCTATTGTAGACACACTACAGACAGACGGTAAGTATCTACGTCATCTATTATAGACACACACTGCAGACAGATGGTAAGTACGTCATCTATTGTAGACACACACTACAGACAGACGGTAAGTATCTACGTCATCTATTGTAGACACACACTACAGACAGACGGTAAGTACGTCATCTATTGTAGACACACACTACAGACAGACGGTAGGTATCTACATAATCTATTGTAGACACATACTACAGACAGATGGTAAGTATCCACCTCATGTATTGTATAAACCGACCTGTCACGTGTACCCGTATACAGGCATTTTTGTCGTTCGAGGCAAACCACTCGCCACTCCCTGAGGTGTGAAACTATGTACAAGAAAGACTATATAACGCAGGGTCCAGATATATTTTGAAAACCGTTGGATAAGAAATATTTTTATAATTACTGACTATGATCACTGTCTAGTCACAACTACACGTGTTTTCCGTTTAATTGTCCTTCCACGATATTAGTCAACCATTTTTAGCGAACCGCGTCAAAATGTGTGCGCGATGTATACAAGGTGTTCGCACGATGATTTTGGCGCATTGTGCGTTACAGCAATTGTATTTCAAAGCTTGGAAAAGACATTGCGGAAGTTTTACAATCTAAATGATCTATTAGAGAGTACAGTAATGCGACAGTCTGACTTTGTGCAACACTTAAAACCCATTCGAAAGACATGTTGCAATTTAAACTGCAATTATGTAGGATTTTGGGGCGTTGGAACCGGTAAATTGCTGAACGTGTGCTCAATGAATTCTAAAAATATGCCGGACTATAAAAGCGTATAGATATTCGGTATATGTACTAATACAAGGAGAGACGTTGCCTTTCTGTGTTCAAACACCGGCGATTATTTCACTTCATTTTCCCAATTGGAATGGGCTTTCATCGATTTTTAAACACGAGGAACAAATTGCTGATTAAATTTCTGTCTTGTCAGCTTCTGCGTAATACCAAACATACAGTATGTAAATTTGTACAGAAAGTTCCGACTAACGTGTTTAAGCAAGCACAATGTTACAAATGATGTTTTTTTCAATGCAATGAAAACGCTACTGAAACTGGGGCGCTGAATGTCCCTCACAAGACACACGATTTCAATAAGGTATGCTTCTGGTTTTTTGTTGGTTTTTTGGGGGTTTTTTTTTAAAAGTTTTTTGTTTCCACGTTGGGTCCAAACACCTATTTACAGTTTCCTGTGCAGTATCAGGTGATTCTGTCAAAAATATATCGCCATATATTCTAAGTGTATCATAGACATACTGATGTAGACAAGAATTCAGTAATTGTAGAAAAAGAACCAGATCACCTTTGTTAGGTTTTTATAAGAAATCAAAACTAAACATTATCAACTCATTCATCTTAAATACGTATCAACAAACAAAGAAACTCTCGACAACTGTACAAAGACTTGGAATTATAATAAAACACACTGTTATGCCAAAAATATGTCAAGACCTGGTGAAGTCATGGACCGGATGTGGAACATTGTAGGGATAAGTCAGCTTACACTATCAAAATACAATTAATATCAATCTAGAATTCAATGTTGAGACATGGTAAGAATACAAAGTGAAATTAAAGGAAATAACAGCTGTTTGCCTGTTGGTTCTGGATCAGTATATATTGCTCTCATTTGAGAACGTGGCTTTATTTATTTAGGTTGACTAAGGTTTACATGGCGAGTGGCGTCGAGGAAGCAGAAGACGTTGACTCTTCCGGAACTCCTGGTCTTATCCTCCTAATTTGTCATAATTTTATTGAATTCATGTCTTGATTATGATGACGTTTACGTGTCAGTATCTTCTTGTTTTGTTTTTACGACACAGGAACATGAAGAAACAGAGGCGGATAAGAACCCTTTGTTCGTCACTGTCCAAACTCTAAAGAAAGGCGAAGTGTTTGTAAGTATTTCTTTCAAACACTCAAAAACCAAAATAAAGTATGTAATGGCCCATTATATGTCATCCAAAGAATTTAGAGCAAACTGTATTACCAAAGAACACAAAAGTACGGACCAATCATATGTTTTCAGTGAGGTAGCAACCAACAAGGAGACCCCCACCTCAAAATGAATTGTTCACTGGCGATGAACATAACACGCAAACGATATTGGTGTTAATTCGATACTATTCCATCTTTTAGATGTTTACGCGACACCTTCAATTCTTGATTTACTCCTCAGTGTTGTTCCCCTTGACCTTTGGCCTCGATACCCACTAATGACCTTGACCTTTATGTTGCCTTCCAGGGTTTACAATACATCGTCTTTGATGATCAGCCCCAGCCTAGTTTGATAGTAGTAAGCAATGGGGCCGACTGTGTACGAATAAGCCGTCGACTTTTTAAACAACATTTGCAGAAGGACCCGCGTATGGTGGACAGATTAACCAATCAGGTGAATGGATCGCATTTTTTCTGTCTAATCTTATATGTGTAAAAATGCCATATTTTCTAGTCACGTGTTCATGATTTATCTCCCTTGAAGGGTTATAAACTATAATTAATTTCAATTTATTTTGATTCTAGAACCTTTGCACTGAGGTTGAACGAATTGGCTCATGTTTGTTTTGTCATAACAGTTCCCTTGTATAAAATCAATCAGAAAAAATATTTTTTCTAAGACAATTGATAGTATGACGTAAGTACATTCATGTAAATGTTGTCCTTGCTCTGGTTAAAATGGCTGAAAATGGTAAATAATGTATTCTCCAGGTATCAATAAAATGGAAATGTATTTAATTTTCCTCGTTAAAGAGGTTGTGTTAAGAATGATCAGGAACAAGGGAAGTAACTTGCCAGTGAGTAATGTCATTGTGTGATATTTGACTTAGATATTTTCGGCGAGATCGTTGAAGGGCTAAAGGTTTCATTGTAAAGAGATCGTATAAGGTTATATAATAAGCTAGAACACTGACCATGCCACCTGCTCTAATACAACCGTCCCATTAGTGTAAAACCAAAACAAAGAGACTATATATTTGATGTACTTCTATTTAGGCTATGTTTTAATGTTTTAATGAAGTCTAAAACAAAGTTGTATTATTTATAATATAATATACATATAGACAGTCGTTGTTAGTATAGGGGTCACGCGTGTAATTCTTGGTGCAGACACATATTCAGGAACCAAATCAATATCCCAGCCAACCATTCGTCTCTAAAATACATCAGATATGTATTTCAAGCGTTTATGTGACTAAGACATTTTGAAAAATGATGCTAGAAGGCTCCTTTATCACATATGACTGATTGTAAATGTGTTAAATATAGGCATAGCACAAGTATTCCTTCTCACCCATGCAAGATCTATTTTACATCAATTTCAGAAATTTCCAGACGTTTCGAACATTAATCCTATTTAATTTGGTCAGTGTTAATTTGCCTACACCGCCTTCTATTTTTCAACACACAGACCCCAAACATTTCTAACGGATCCTAGAAAATCAAAGCATCTGTATGATTCAGTTTAATTCATTATTTAGAACCAGCCTGCAGTGTCTATTACCGTCAATCTAGAAGGTTGTGCAAAAGACACAAAAGTGAGCCGCACATTTCAGTACAAATTAGGACCTATATACAGCCATTTTATGATTCGTATGTGATGCTAAGGGCCCAATTTTGAAATATAATTTGTTTTGAAATATCCTTAGTACAATATCTTTGTGTAAACCCCCCCCCCCCAAAAAAAAAGAAAAGTTCTCAGGTGCTCGTGTGTGTCTAATTTATCAATCATCTATAAAAGTGTGCTGATAGAAGCTGCGTCTCACTTCAACTGAAAAAAGGGCAGCTTAATATTGCAAAATAAAATAATCATATACACGGAGTGCTGAATTTAGTACCGAAGACATGCATGTTTGAACTAATAAAACAGTGTTAGTGTTTCTACAAACAAACGATTGAAGTCACAAAATCCAAATAAGTACCTACGCAAGAGGTAGAATAACAATTGTGATACCGAAGTGTTATCGTTACTTTTTAATGGCCAATCTTAAACCATTACAGTCGTTTCATGAACATTTAACTTCGTGTCTAGACGAAATAGCAACGCGTGTGTTGGTCGATCTCTATATCAAACTGGTTAATTTAGTATATACGCTGTTTAGGGTTTTTTTTCGGGGCTAAGTTGTCTCGGGGTATCGAAACTGCTGATGCACACATACTGATCCAACTTTAAAAGTTAAAGGAATTTATTGTTCTTAAGTATAAAATACTGCGTTCATAAATTAACCGACAAATCGATTATTGAGTAAACTAACGTAAATGACTTGATTCGGCAGTTTAGACACCGCAATATCTATCTAGCATGACATTGTTTGTTCGTGTTTGTTTTCATCATGAAGTCCTTTAAGCATACAGCACCACGGATATTCTCTGTAGTCAATTACGTGGAGACTAAAACACGTAGTCCCCACGGAGAAATCAAATCAAGTTGAAACATCGCTGGGGAGAATGTGTTATATGTGCTTAAGTTAAGCGCATGTTTGATGTGTTTTTTACTAAACACATCTTGACTTAGACTATGAAACGCCATTACTACAGAGCTCGTTTTCTCTTACATAAGTAGAACATACATTGCAGTTTAGCGTGACCTTCCTTGTTACGTATGCATTTAACGATAGCACTGTTTCGACAAGAGAGGCCAACTCGATGTAGCATTGACAACACGTGCTAGACGATTGCACGTGCATGACAGGACACAGTTATATTTAGCTGTTTGATGGCAATTTGCATTCCGATGGAGTGAATGAGATGTCTTTTTCATAAATTGAGCCTGTTCAAACAGATTGTGTCTATTAGGCGCTGCATTATTTCTAATCATTTCTTGGGATTGGTAATGGAATTCAATTGTCGGGCCGACGCTTCCTGATAAGAACGAATAAAATCAATCACAACCGATCGAGATTGGAATGACAAAGTGGATTGCAGGTACACGCATACTGCCCGAACATGCGACGGACCCATATAAGGAAGTTCACGTGTTTTCTAGGGAGAAAGTGCAAAACAAAATGACAAATATTGCCAGATTAGAACACGTTCCATGTAATCGTCCAAAAATTAAAAAAAATAAAAACTTCTTATCTAGAACAAACCTTATAAATCACCACGATTACGGAGAATCAATCATTTCCCAGGCGAGTTCTGGTACCTTTTTATCTGAGGAAACGTCAAATTGTAGGACTGTTCGGAACAACCTTAATCTGATGTTATCAATTACTCACAATGTATATTTTTGTACACATGCAAAAAAAGACTGTTAAATATCATTTTTAGATACAGTTTAAAGATATACCAAAGTAATATAATTTTTGAAAGAATATATAAGTATTTATATAACTTTATCGAAATTAATGTTGTTTAACATCATCGCGAACACTGCAGATCCCCCGCGAATATTTTGAACTGCAAATTCCTCGCGAATATTTTGAACTACAAATCCCTCGCGAATATTATTAACTGCAAATTCCTCGCAAATATTATCAACTGCAAATCCATCGCGAATATTATCAAAAACTGCAAATCCCTCGCGAATATTATAAACTCCACATCTCTCGCGAATATTATGAACTGCAAATCCCTCGCAAGTATCATAAAACTCCACATCACTCGCGAATATTATCTACTGCAAATCCCTCGCGAATATTACAAACTCCACATCTCTCGGAAATATTATGAACTGCAAATCCCTCGCAAGTATCATAAAACTCCACATCACTCGCGAAAATTATCTACTGCAAATCCCTCGCGAATATTACAAACTCCACATCTCTCGGTAATATTATAAACTGCAAATCTATCGCTAATTTTTTTTCAACTGCAAAGTCCTCGCGAATATTTTCAAGAGCAAATCCTCGCGAATATTATCAATTCCAAATCCCACGCCCACGCGAATATCTTAATCTGCAAGGTCCTCGCGAATATCATAAACGTTGTAAAACATTCTTACCATTTTGTTACTAGTAGGATTTGCTAAAATTAAAGTAAATTATGGTAAAGCACAGAAAATTTGTAGGAATTATATTTACATAAATATGGATATACGAAATATATGCAATTACCTTCGCGTTCTTCCGTCTGCGTCACACCTAAAATTCTATCAGCAATTGTACCAAAGAAGATTTGGCTAAATACAGACTTCCGGAGACGTTCTTCCGACTAACTAAGACAGTTTTGCGAACTTGATAACGAAGTTATTAGACGTTTCATTTACAAGCGTCTGGAGGACAGCGATAACATGTCACGTGGTGTGAAGATGAGGATGCTAATACATTTATCTATATATTTCTCTTTAGATCGATACAGAACTAATCGGCGGCCTGGTTTACTCGCATGCGTTGTGTGACAGAAACGTAATAAATGTATCGCGGTCTTCTAAAAAGCTCTGTAAACAAATTACCACCTGTTTTGAAAGTCGTAATCCAAATTAAAAATATTTTTGTACAACTTTTGTGTTCCGGTTGATGAGGAATACACTGTAAATGTCTTATTTGTTCAAAGCATGACAAGGACATTTTAAAAGGAACTTTTCTTCGCCAAATCGTCATTATTGTTTCCTTATCAACGTATGTCTATGATCTTGCCTTTGAAATATTAATTTACAATCGATATCGTCCCCCGCGACAGACCATGATCAACATTAAGACTGTATAAAAGACACATAAGCAAATAGCAACTTTCAATACAAATTTAGAATTAAATACACTAAAGTCTTATAATAAAGAAAACTGCACCATACAGATTTCTTCTAGGACTCGCCTATAATGCTAAGGGCCTTTATGATAAACCTTATGTATTTTTGATGCCCATTAACATAGACTGCTGCCTTTCAGGTATCGCCGTATCCTACGGACGAACAGCTACAGGATCAGCTGATCACACGAGTGAACTGGGAGTCTTACAAAGAAATAAGCATCAACCAAAATATGTCACGAATCCGAGAACGGTGCAAAAGACATACCAAGAAACAGCGTCCGTTTCAGTTTTAAAACATTTCAAACCCCTTGTATAAGTAAATGTCTGATTGCAGTTGTGCTCGTGGAAATGAGACCAACAAAAGTGAGGAGAAATACCGCAAATGAGGCCAACCAAAGGGGGAAAAACGTGGAAATGAGGCCAATAAAGGGGAGAAGAAACCCGGCTTTGCCACATGTATATAATGATGGCTTTGATCACAAGCGTGGAAGAGAAGATACTTATTTTCAAATGTTTATTTTTTGACAATCCCGGTGTTGCCAAAAAGTTGGAAAGACTCGTATTTCACAGGTACATCCCTATGTTTGCTTTGCATGGGAAAGGAAATACATACGACCTTGTACCAAAATTGACAGTGGGATCGCACTTTCACCTTCTATAGCGTAACCATTGCTTCAAAGAATGACGTCATTAATTTTGACTCATAGTTCAGGGTCGTTCATGATGACACGGTGTACACAACACTATCGAAAATTGAGGGGAACATTAATAATGACACCTGTTGGATCTGTGTGCAGATTTCCATCATTTGTGATTCGTCACCTGCTAATACGAGGTAATGGAAACATCTGTTGTGAGTGTCCGGCTGGAATCGTTGTAGTCTTGTTCTCGGTAGGTTAAAAATATCCCCTAAGGACTATATATATATTGGGGCGAATAAAACTGAATAATTAGAGACATAGACTACTCCGGCCGAACGCATTGTGATATATGCATCCTTTTTGGCGGTACCGTACGGCAAGGAACGATAACTCTAGTAGAGATTGGCTTTTAAACTGATCTGAGTGAAGACGTCATGACGACACGTGTTGCATTTGGCACATGCTTTTTTTGTTGTTTGGAACAAGCGAGTTCTGATATGGAAAAAAAACGACGTAGCTTTGAACTTCGTTAACATCGCGGGCGTCGTCATGGAAGCAATAGTCACTCATATTTCCGAAACACATGATATTGTTTCTCTTGTACGTTTTGATATATTTGTGTTAGTCTTTGTTTTTGCCATAAATTGACTTCGTTTCCATCATAATTAGTTTTGTTTTTGTCGGTCCTTACATTTGTGTTTGGTATAACTCAGCATTTCAATTACAAAACAGTATTTACAACTTAGAAAAAAATAATCGGGAAGTGAAGTTGATACAATGAAAACAGAGAAAGCTCATTTACATTTTTAGGTCAACTGACCCGAGTAGTATTTAAGACGTTAGGTATCACAAGTCGTTTAGACTGAGGAGATAAGAAGATCAGATTTATTCAGTTTTTACGCCCTGTCTGCAAGGACTCTTGAAAATGAAACACATAAATACGATAAAAATGAGAAATAGTTTTAAAACATCTCGATGACTTGATATTATCAGGAAATACCTAGATGTGTCTCGATTACATACATTCTACTGCAGTTACCAAAAAATGACGACCTACATACACTCTCTTTAACGGATCAAAATTTGCCAGGCATCTAGCCGACCTAGGTTCGATTCTCCAATTGTGCATGGATTGGAACTCCCTTTTCCACCCATAGTATGATCTTCTGCGCGCTTCCACCAGGAAAACAAAACATATTAATTTAAAGCTGACCAACTTCTTTTAAATTTGCGATTGTTGTAAAAAAAGTTTACAGATTGAGACACTCTTGATTAAGACAATCTTGTCCCATTTATACACAGAGCCAGATAGAATCCAGGACAAAGGATGTATGACAAAGATGCTCCGGTTTTGTAGCCTAGCTTTTGAGAGTGCAGTGTTATTACAAACAATGGAATGGATGTCTTTTTCAAACCCTGCGTTCAGGGAATATGGACTTTTATTAATTGAATCCCCAGGAAATTTATTTTACTCAAATGAATACACACGCTTCGTTCTGAAGCCAGTTCTCAATGAAATACACACCCAAATTCTTTCTGCGAAAATGAGTCGATAACATAAAAAGTGGAGAAAAAACGTAGCGCAGATCAATTTTATTTAAGATCAGGTGTACTTAAGAGTATGTGTACTTGTAATCATGAAAATAAATTGATCGTGGTTAGATGACGTGTATCACGTGATTAGTTGAGAAGATAAATTATTTTCCTACCATTGTGTATTGTTTTTCGATTCAGCAGCATATAAATGGTTTTCTTCACATTTGATTCATATTTCTAATATTTGTTTTTGTTTTACTTTTTTGGTTCTCAGCAACATGTGCACGCGGGACAATGCTAATTGTATCAGACGAAAAGAGGCGACTAATGTGAATCACAGATATGATATATCTGGTATATAGTTTTTGGACCGGTTGATCGAGACTAAAATACACAATACACTACCATAATTGTACTTGGCAGCTCTTTATCTAAATAAGGAAAATAAAGATTGGTTCAGCAGCTCGAAGAATGAATTTAGAACTGGCTCAGAAGCCTAATTACTTGACCTACATGTATTTCTCAAGTTCTTTAATGGCTTGCTTATAGGTTGCTTAATGTTTTGGGATCACTGGCTGCTCATCATTCAAGACGCTGAAGAAATTAAAGAGTGCTCGCCACTCCAGACGTTTAGAGATACAGGGCACCCACTCCCCCATATGTTCAGAGATGATAGAGTGTTCACTATTCCAGACGCTGAAGAGATTACAGAGTGCTCGCCACTCCAGACGTTCAGAGATTATAGGATACTCATCGCCTCGAACTTTTCAGAGATTGTTAGGTACTAAAAACGTCAGATGGTTTTAGAAGCATAAGGTCTTCACCACCCAATACGTTCCATAATTATGAAGTTCTCAACACTCCAACGTTTTAGAGATTAGACGCTATTCATCACTTTAGTTTTATAGATTGCACTGTCTTCACCATCCCAGACGTTCCACACATTATAGGGCACTCACCACTGCATTTAGAGATTGCAGTGTCTTCACCACACCAAATGATTTAGAGATTGCAGTGTCTTCACCACACCAAATGATTAGGAGATTGCAGTGTCTTCTCCACACCAAACGTTTTAGAGATTGCAGTGTCTTCGCCACAGCAAATGATTTAGAGATTGCAGTGTCTTCACCGCACCGAACGTTTTAGAGATATGAGTGTCTTCACCACACCAAATGACTTAGCGATTGCAGTTTTTTCGCCACACCAAATGATTTAGCGATTGCAGTGTCTTCGCCACACCAAACGTTTTAGAGATTGCAGTGTCTTCACCACACCAAACGTTTTAGAAATTGCAGTGTCTTCACTACACCAAATGATTTAGCGATTGCAGTGTCTTCACCACGCAAAATGATTTAGCGATTGCAGTGTCTTCGCCACACCAAACGTTTTAGAGATTGCAGTGTTCGCCGCACCAAATGATTTAGAGATATGAGTGTCTTCACCACACCAAACGTTTTAGAGATATGAGTGTCTTCACCACACCAAACGTTTTAGAGATATGAGTGTCTTCACCACACCAAACGTTTTAGAGATATGAGTGTCTTCACCACACCAAACGATTTAGAGATTGCAGTGTCTTCACCACACCAAACGTTTTAGAGATTGCAGTGTTCGCCGCACCAAATGATTTAGAGATATGAGTGTCTTCACTACACCAAATGATTTAGCGATTGCAGTGTCTTCACCACACCAAACGTTTTAGAGATTGCAGTGTTCGCCGCACCAAATGATTTAGAGATTGCAGTGTCTTCACCACACCAAACGTTTTAGAGATATGAGTGTCTTCACCACACCAAACGTTTAAGAGATATGAGTGTCTTCACCACACCAAACGTTTTAGAGATTGCAGTGTTCGCCGCACCAAATGATTTAGAGATTGCAGTGTCTTCACCACACCAAATGATTTAGAGATATGAGTGTCTTCACTACACCAAATGATTTAGCGATTGCAGTGTCTTCGCCACACCAAACGTTTTAGAGATTGCAGTGTTCGCCGCACCAAATGATTTAGAGATTGCAGTGTCTTCACCACACCAAACGTTTTAGAGATATGAGTGTCTTCACCACACCAAACGTTTTAGAGATATGAGTGTCTTCACCACACCAAACGTTTTAGAGATTGCAGTGTCTTCACCACACCAAACGTTTTAGAGATTGCAGTGTCTTCACCACACCAAACGTTTTAGAGATATGAGTGTCTTCACTACACCAAATGATTAAGCGATTGCAGTGTCTTCACCACACCAAACGTTTTAGAAATTGCAGTGTCTTCACTACACCAAATGATTTAGCGATTGCAGTGTCTTCACCACACCAAACGTTTTAGCGATTGCAGTGTCTTCACCACACCAAACGTTTTAGAGATTGCAGTGTCTTCACCACACCAAACGTTTTAGAGATTGCAGTGTCTTCACCACACCAAACGTTTTAGAGATATGAGTGTCTTCACCACACCAAACGTTTTAGAGATATGAGTGTCTTCACCACACCAAACGTTTTAGAGATATGAGTGTCTTCACCACACCAAACGTTTTAGAGATTGCAGTGTCTTCACCACACCAAACGTTTTAGAGATATGAGTGTCTTCACCACACCAAACGTTTTAGAGATTGCAGTGTCTTCACCACACCAAATGATTAAGAGATTGCAGTGTCTTCTCCACACCAAACGTTTTAGAGATTGCAGTGTCTTCACCACACCAAACGTTTTAGAGATTGCAGTGTCTTCACCACACCAAACGTTTTAGAGATATGAGTGTCTTCACCACACCAAACGTTTTAGAGATATGAGTGTCTTCACCACACCAAACGTTTTAGAGATATGAGTGTCTTCACCACACCAAACGTTTTAGAGATATGAGTGTCTTCACCACACCAAACGTTTTAGAGATATGAGTGTCTTCACCACACCAAACGTTTTAGAGATATCAGTGTCTTCACCACACCAAACGTTTTAGAGATATGAGTGTCTTCACCACACCAAACGTTTTAGAGATATGAGTGTCTTCACCACACCAAACGTTTTAGAGATATGAGTGTCTTCACCACACCAAACGTTTTAGAGATATGAGTGTCTTCACCACACCAAACGTTTTAGAGATATGAGTGTCTTCACCACACCAAACGTTTTAGAGATATGAGTGTCTTCACCACACCAAACGTTTTAGAGATATGAGTGTCTTCACCACACCAAACGTTTTAGAGATATGAGTGTCTTCACCACACCAAACGTTTTAGAGATATGAGTGTCTTCACCACACCAAACGTTTTAGAGATATGAGTGTCTTCACCACACCAAACGTTTTAGAGATATGAGTGTCTTCACCACACCAAACGTTTTAGAGATATGAGTGTCTTCACCACACCAAACGTTTTAGAGATATGAATGTCTCCACCACACCAAACGTTTTAGAGATATGAGTGTCTTCACCACACCAAACGTTTTAGAGATATGAGTGTCTTCACCACACCAAACGTTTTAGAGATATGAGTGTCTTCACCACACCAAACGTTTTAGAGATATGAGTGTCTTCACCACACCAAACGTTTTAGAGATATGAGTGTCTTCACCACACCAAACGTTTTAGAGATATGAGTGTCTTCACCACACCAAACGTTTTAGAGATATGAGTGTCTTCACCACACCAAACGTTTTAGAGATATGAGTGTCTTCACCACACCAAACGTTTTAGAGATATGAGTGTCTTCACCACACCAAACGTTTTAGAGATTGCAGTGTCTTCACCACACCAAACGTTTTAGAGATATGAGTGTCTTCACCACACCAAACGTTTTAGAGATATGAGTGTCTTCACCACACCAAACGTTTAAGACGTTATAGGGTGCTCAACACTCCAGATATTTAGAGATTGCAGTGTCTTCACCTCTTCAAGCGTTTGAAAGGTTATAGCGTACTCAGCACTCTAGACATTGTGGAGGTTTTTGGGAACTCAACACTCCAGAAATTTAGAGAGTACAGGGTACTCAACACTCCAGATATTTAGAGATCGCATGGTCTTCACCACTCCAAGCGTTTTTAAGGTTATAAGGTACTCAACACTCCAGACGATTAAGAAATTTAAGGGGCTTCTCTACACCAAACGTTTCAAAGATTATAGGAGACTTGGCACTCGACTGGGTCACCACAACAGACATGTCTCACTACTCCAGACGTCGTTCAAACCTCCAGACGTCGTTCAACCCTCCAGGCGTCATCCACCAAACCAGATGTCGTTCACCACTTCAGACGTCGTTCGCCCCTCCAGGCGTCGTTCACCTCTTAAGAGATTATAGAATTCTCAATATTATCAATGTTTCTGAGATTGAAGGCTGATCATATTGACTAAGAGCCCGTAATCAGGATTTGTCATCCACGTCGAACATACAGGGAAGGATTCTTGAGTTGGTCGATGTCATTCCTTGTAAAATATAGAGAACGTGTTTACTGTAGAGAACCTCATCTTATATAGCTTTTTTTAAGATTACAAACGGTTTTAATCAAATCTTCAATCATTCCATCTGATAAACCATTTAAAACTGCACCACATTTATTAATAAATACACCGTATATCGGAAAGGGGAACATGTTATCGCATTACTGAAACATAGTTAGATTTGATTTCCAAGAAGAGGGGACTGTTTTGTGCGTTTTAATAGAAAATCCAATTTTTAATTTACTGTGGGAGAAACTCTCATTGGCATTTTCTTTCTGGTTTGCTTAATTTCATCAAGCTTCAAAGACGATGCATGTCTGAACTTGTTGCCTTTACTACCGGTAGAATAGAGCGTTGATCAAATGCTGCGTTTTTGTATGGATTTCAAGTTCTTATATTGAAAATGAGATTAGGGACTAGAACTCTGGTGCGTTACATAGGCTGGTAGGACGATAAGGAACAAGGAAAGTACAGAAACATGTGAATGTGTGATGAATGATACAACTGTACAAATGAGAAGCTAACTGCGAAGAGACTATCCTATACGGACAAGATAAATAGCGCAAACTCGGCATCGACATTAAGTTTGAAGAACTGGAATACAAAATTGTATTACTAATGAATGGAAAAAATGTCGGCTTGATTTTACGATTTCTGCAGGTAGACTTGACAAGGGCATTCATCAGTAATCCCTTTATAGAAAATGACAATCCGACTACGACGTTGTTGTATGGGATATCTACATAAAATGTACTTAGATGACTTGAATACAGAATATTTTTTCCGAAATAAAAGTTATGATCACAACTGAATGATTGTTTACTAATAATTTGAATTTGTAAAAAAATTAACTTTTGAAGCTCGTGGTCTCGTTGGAAATTTTCATTTTCTGGCAGAGGAAGGTTAAAAAAATTGTAGCAGACGACATTTGCAAGGTCTTAAGCAGATATCAAAACATGGGAAACAAATCTGTTCTGCTAAAATGATCTTAATGTCATATTTTTATTTATTTATTTATTTTTTTTTTGAAAATAATTATTATGATATCATTTATCTATATCTATTCACGTTCTGCAAATCAGGAGCAAAATGAATGAGTTTTATCTAAAGTTAAACATCAAAATATGTGTAAGGGTCCCCCCTAACAGATTCTGTAAATGACGTACATCCAGATCATTGTTACTCTGGTCAAATTCATTGATACGTTTGGTAGTTCCATTGGTTCCTACTTGAGTAGAAGTTTGGTTAAATGCTGATAGACTAACATTTGAGAAACACAAAAAACACATTGTCATATATCACAATGGAAATATATTGCATATACTGACACAGCTTTCGAACCAAAAGAAATTTCGGGGAATCAAACTAGCCCTTCATATGAAAATATGAAGGGATATCCCGTTAAAAAATAATGCACTTCAAAAATGTATGTTTACAATATGATTTTATTTTTTTTTTTTTGAATTTGCAATACAGGTCATGACAGAAATAATCTATTTGTTGGTTATATTTAGTTTTGAAGAACAAAAACGAAAAAAAAACTGTATTTTTTCGTCTCTTTTAACACAGATAAGTTTAGTGTCAATGACATCCATCAGTAAAGTGTTAATCGATGTCAGAATGGTTTGAGTTATCCTGCTACACTCCTTCCATCCTTCATGCTTTGTCATCAACTTCTCTTCTCTTCTTCAGTTGTTTCTTCATCCTCTTCTTCGTCTTCATCGTACTTCTTCTACAATCATCAAAAACATGCTTCAGGTATTTTTTGACTCCAGAGAGAAAATCCAGCAAAAATTATAATCAAAATAATCTAAGAAAATCCATTAAAATTATGATTATAATAGTCTAAAAGTCCATTAAAATAATAATTATACCAGTATAATCCATTAAAATTATGATTATAATAGTCTAAAAGTCCATTAAAATAATAATTATACCAGTATAATCCATTAAAATTATGATTAAAATTATGATTATTAAAATTATGATTATAATAGTCTAAAAGTCCATTAAAATAATAATTATACCAGTATAATCTATTAAAATTATTATTATAATAGTCTAAAAGTCCATTAAAATAATAATTATACCAGTATAATCCATTAAAATTATGATTATAATAGTCTAAAAGTCCATTAAAATAATAATTATACCAGTATAATCTATTAAAATTATGATGATGATAGTCTAAGAAATTACTTTTGATTTAATTGATCCGATTCCGTGATACCGCATCAATATATTACGTTAGAAGCAATGACCCTATGAACGCAGTTTGAATAAATGTTTTCATTTTTATAACAAATTCCAATACATACTGTGAAAATTCATACTATTCTGTCTTAAAACAATATTCTCTGTAATGGAAGGGTTGTGGGGCCTGCATTTCGAACACTGCACATTGTCGTAGTAAGAACAATACATACAACAAGTTTCATGTTATGCTTCGGACAAGAAAGGACAGACGGGAAGGCGGACAGACAAAGCAGTAACTATACACTTTAACAAAAATTCAGGGTACATAACAAAATATGAATATTAAAGATTTGTTAAGTTTTAGTCTGATGTAGTAATATATATTAGCAATAAGTTCCTTGTATAGAAAACATAAGAAATAAAACATGATACGATTGATGTGTAAAATGTAGGAAGAGATCGATAATTGAATATAGAAATTAATCTACAAAGTAAATACATACATATGTCTAGTTTTAGATTCAATACGAAATATGTTTAGATCATCTATAGAAATATGGTTAATAAATGATTGTATAAAAGACAGAAAATTGAATTGCACCTTTATGTACAAATTTATTTTCTGATATGTACTATATATCAATGAATTATACAGGTTTTGTACCTGTTTTTTATTCGTCAGTGAATTGCATCATGTAGTTATTTTTTGTCATTCTATGACTCGTTACTGATACTTCATCTAACAGTTACAATTTTGTCCTTCTAGGACCTGTCAGTGATACTCCATCATACAGTTGTTTCAACCTCCTAGGCACATTAGGGGTGTGAAAACCGAGAAGCCGAGATAGGTATGAAAATTGGCCGGATTAATGATATGGTCACTTTACACATAGTTAACAGATAGAGTACCATAAATTCTGCATGTAATTGATAAAGTTAATCAACATCGCGGAACTAGTAAGATTTATATATGGATAATATGAAGATATTTCAAAAAATGCTGATTGGAATTTAAGTCTTTTATTAAATGCTTGAATAAAACATCGCTAACTATTTCATCCCTGGGGAAAAAAAAACAACATATCCCGTCGAAAACAACAACTTTTACAACAAACAATATGTATTTCTTTGCTACTGCTTATTTTACCTTTCGAAACGCCCCAGATAGCGCTAGTAGGTTTTTTACACAATACTTCTAACTCCAATATAAAAACCGTCATATTTATCTTATTTTAAAAAAGCTTGAATACCAATCGATTACAGCTAATCAAATTAAAAGAGACAATTTGTCGAGTATATCAAAAATGGCAACCAAAGGCAACCATCAACTGAAAAACATGAACATATTGAACATTTTATCACAGCAAATTTGAAGGCGAATTCAATTATAATAACATACAATGCAACTTATTGTGCAGACTGTCAAATCTGCCTGTCTAAGAATTTAATTAAAATCAAAGCAATTGTCTCGGAACTTATAATAATCTTCTCTAAGTTTCCTTCTTTCTCCTGAATCTAGAAGCAAAGATAGTCACATATACGATAAACATATGTAATGATAAATATACTGTTTCATTTTCATTTCTACATTACTGATGATATTAAATTAATAACAGATGAAAAACAGAATTCGAAATAGAAAATAGTCACTTCAAAATTAATTTTGAATATTGAACTCTTAAAGATATTTAAAAACACAAAAAACAAAAAATCAAAAACAAAAAGCACAAAAGAGAAAAAAAAACAAAAACAAAAAAATGAAAAGGGAAAAACTCGAAGCATAAGCCAAAAAAGTCCGGAAAACAATATTCCCAGAAAATTTCCAAGTTGAAAGAGGCATAACTCTGCCAAAAAGGGTCACAGACAGCCAGGAATGGAACTTAATCTGTACCCTTGCAACAAAAAGCCATAAGCCAAATTTCATTTTGATAACTCAAAGCATTACCGAAAAAAAGTCCGGAAAACTTTCGTACGGACGCCGCCGACGCGTGACGACGGACAAAGTGACCACCAGCTCTGCAGGCGACACAATAAACCTAACAACAATAAACCTAACAAAAGTAGATGATTGTACCTAACTATCGAGAAAAATATATTAAATTGTATGAAAATTGATCAAAAGACGACTGCTGTAGGTTCGTACAATGCACGGAAAACACTAAGCATTTATACTTAACACGCGTCTGAGTCACCATTTCAGCATTATACATGAGAGTATCATTCGATTGTGCGATAATTGAATATAAACATATAAAATTATTTTTATCGTCTCTGCGTTGCCTTCTTTTGCCTGAATCAGAGATAAAACAAACCCATCAGATACAATGGTTTTATTGACACATCACATCAATTTATATTCAATATTATTTATTTTGATCTTTCACAAATACTGTTATCAAATTGATACTCTTGTTTACCAAAACAAACTTAATTGGAAATATACATAAACATTATGCTCTAGTTCTATTCAATATAAAAAACATCGTTTGGTGTACTTACCTTCCGCGAAGCTGCTCACACACTCTCCTCACTCTAAGCTTTACGCAAAGACAAATAAAAAGGTAATTTTACATTTTTAAAGCATGAAGATACATTTTTGTTTTTTCAAAGAAAGCTTACTGAATATCTGTTTGCAATACTTAGCACTTCTAGTGCGACAATACAAAACTCTTTCGTTCAAACGGTAAATTTTTGAATGACCTACATCGTTGTTCTTTCATTTTGATAATTCATGAAGACTGCGAAGGAGTTGATTTGCTTAAACGATAATGGATCGTTTTGAAAATAGGTTTATTGTGAACTGACTTAAAAGCAAAATAGTTGATAGCATTATCGTCATCTGAACCGTCTTCGCTGCTTTCACTAGAAACTGAATACAAAATAATAACATTTTTTATTGTTTTGGTTATGACACTTGAGAAGCAAAAACATAATTAATTAACATTATGAGAACGATATATTCTTCTTTTGGCTTAATACTAATTTGTCCATGAAGCTCATCAAACAAAAATGATGATACGTGTTTAGTGTTGATGAGTTTACGTGGATAAATGATTAATTAAAAACACCAAATAATTCAGCATTTAATGATAGCAAAATAAAAAATGAACACAACATAACAATAACTTGTCAGGACATATTCGTGTGTAGAGTGAATAGAATTCGACAATTTGTTACATCAATAAAAACTAATATCACAAAGTAGAATATCACATCCCTGTTATTATATCATTGATAATAAAAATGATATATAAACTCGCCAAGATTTGAGTAAAAGAAATATGATTACTGTTAGATGAATCGTCTATGCCGCTTTCGCTTGAAGCTAAATATGAATTGAAAACATGTTTTATCATGATTTCATGTTTGGTTAAGTTAAAGGAGTTTTGTTTGAAAACAAACTGCAGTGACGTAGAGAAATTGTAAGCTAATTTCAGATAGTGTGAGTCAAATTCTATCATTTAATAAATAAATAAATAAAAAGTGAGTATATACTACGTCTCTGCATTTTTTTATTATTAACATTGTTAATAAGATACCAGTTTTAAATGATCACAAGGTAAGGTAGATGATATGCTTACCGTTAGATGAATCGTCTATGCTGAAAACATGTTTCATTATGATATAAAAATATATCTTTTCTGTTTATCTGGTGAAGGTTAAGGAGTTTTGTTTGTGAACAAAAATGCAATGACTTATTGTCACATCAAAAATATTCTTAAAACATACTTTTCCTTAAAAAAACCCACCAAAAACAATTCGTAAGCTTATCATTTCATACTCCGAGGATATTTATCAAATGCCATATATTTTTTTCCGGAGAAGCATCATTCATGTTTTTCCCATATTTGTAATATGTTATTGTTTTTGTTGGATAAAAGCAATTACGTTTCCTTGACTTTTACACTAATAAACTTCCTTTTTGTCTTCATTTTTATAGCATATTCAAGATCTCCATAACTATCCTATCTTACTAACATACAACATAGTATATTGCGGTCACCAATTATTTCAATTATAAACACAAGCATACTGGATGGGGTGATGAGGTGCATTTTTCTACATATCGTGTATCCCTCCATGCATATGTATCTTGCGCCCCTCATCGGTGCCGATAATTTGTACCCCACCTTTTTGTTGTACAGACAGACTGAAGTTAATGTCATTCAGATCCTTATATTATATAACAAGATCGATTGATATCATGGGTGTATTTGAAATGTTCCTGTCATTTAATAAATGACCATTTGACAACATTTCTTTTCTCTGTTGTTTTTTGTTTATAAGATATATACAACAAATAACAAGCTGCAGTCGCTAAGCTGGATTACCGTGCTAACACAAAGTATATTGCGGTCACCAATCATTTCAATTATAAACACAATCATACAAATGGACCAAAGTGATGGAGATGATTGTTCAAAATACAAAACCTTCACAAATCTAACACAACAGCACGATCATAAAAATTTCTTTCGATTTTGCGATGATCGAGAATGAATTTATAGAACTATATTTACCTTCTCTGCGTTTCCTGCTGTCGGCTGAATCTGAAATATTAAAGGACATTAGTTATAAAGTGGTTACAAATGACAAAATTATAAGCTAATTTCAGGTAGTGTGAATCGCGTTCTACCACTTAATAAATATATAATAAAATGGAAAACGACATCTGTGTTTCTTATCAGTAAAAGTGGTTATAAATAACAATCTTGTCAAGTTTTAAGTTTAAGATATAAAACTGATATAATTACCGTCAGAAGAATCGTCTTCGCTGCTTTCGCTTGAAGCTAAATACAAATTGAAAACATGTTTTATTATAACATAAAAATGTATCTTTTATGTATATTTCGTCAAGTTTATATAAGAACTTTTGTTTGAAAATCACCTAGAGCGACATTCTCTCATCTACAAATTTATTCACAAAACATACTTTTCATTCGAGCTAGATTCTTTTCTAGCAAATAACTTTTTCTTAGAAGCTTCATTTATACGGTTACCCGATGTTCTTATTTCTATCTTATCGTTTTTTTTTATTAAAAAGAAAAATGTTTCCCTGACTTTTAACTCAATAAAATTCCTGTTTAGTCTTCATCTTTAAAGGAATCTCAAAGATCTACATAAGTAACATATCTAACAAATATACACGATGTTATATTGTTGTCAGCAATTATTTCAATGATAAACACAGGCAAACAAATGGACTTAACTGAAGTAGATGATAGTTCAAAGTAAGCGAGAAAAACATACAGAATTAAATCAATATTGATAAAAATGGACAGTTGTTGGCTCGTGAAATGCACGGAAAATACTGCACATAGATACGTGTCATGTGTCTACGTACAGCGCTTTTACAAAGTTAACACAACAACACGACACATAAAACCTTTGTCCGATTTTGCGATTATCTAGAATGAATATAGAGAACTGTATCTACCTTGCCTGCGTTTCCTGCTGTCGGCTGAATCAATAGAAAAGGACAAAAGTTATAAAGTTGTTATAAATGTCATAATTATAAAACGAACAGAGTATCTTAAGCTAATTTCAGGTAGTGTGGATCGAATTTTACCATTAAAAGATAAATAAGGAGAGTAATCTTAAAATAGAATATGACATCTATGTGTTTTATCAATAAAAGTGGTTATAAATAAACAATCTTGTCAAGTGTTAAGTAAAAGATACATAACTGATATGCTTACCGTTAGATGAATCGTCTTCGCTGCTTTCGCTTGAAGCTAAATATAAATTGAAAACATGTTTCATTATGATATAAAAATATATCTTTTCTGTTTATCTGGTGAAGGTTAAGGAGTTTTGTTTGAGAACAAAAATGCAATGACTTATTGTCACATCAAAAATATTCTTAAAACATACTTTTCCTTAAAAAAACCCACCAAAAACAATTCGTAAGCTTATCATTTCATACTCCGAGGATATTTTTTAAATGCCAAATACTTTTTTTCCGGAGAAGCATCATTCATATGTTTTTTCCCATATTTGTAATATGTTATAGTTTTTGTTGGATAAAAGCAATTACGTTTCCTTGACTTTAACACTAATGAACTTCCTTTTTGTCTTCATTTTCAAAGCATATCCAAGATCTACATAACTATCCTATCTTACTAATATACAACATAGTATATTGCTGTCAACATTTTTTTCAATTATAAACATAATCATACAAATGGACCAAAGTGATGGAGATGATTGTTCAAAATGCAACACCTTCACAAAAGTTAACACAACAGCACGACACATAAAACTTTTGTTCGATTTTTGCGATTATCGAGAATGAATTGATAGAACCATATTTACCTTCTCTGCGTTTCCTGCTGTCGGCTGAATCTGAAATATTAAAGGACATTAGTTATAAAGTTGTTACAAATGACAAAATGATAAGCTAATTTCAGGTAGTGTGAATCGCGTTCTACCAATTAATAAATATATAATGAAAGTAATAATAAAATGGTAAACGACATCTGTGTTTCTTATCAGTAAAAGTGGTTATAAATAACAATCTTGTCAAATTTTAAGTTTGAAATATAAAACTGATATAATTACCGTCAGAAGAATCGTCTTCGCTGCTTTCGCTTGAAGCTAAATATAAATTGGAAACATGTTTCATTATGATATAAAAATGTATTTTTTCTGTGTATCTGGTCAAGTTTAAGGAGTTTTGTTTGTGAACAAAAATGCAATGACTTATTGTTACATAAAAACTATTCTTAAAACATACTTTTCCCTAAAAAAAACCCCACCAAAAACAATTCGTAAGCTGATCATTTTATACTCCGAGGATATGTTTTAAATGCCAAATACTTTTTTCCGGAGAAGCATCATTCATATGTTTTTCCCATATAATATGTTATCGTTTGTTGGATAAAAGCAATTACGTTTCCTTGACTTTTACACTAATAAACTTCCTTTTTGTCTTCATTTTTATAGCATATTCAAGATCTCCATAAGTATCCTATCTTACTAACATACAACATAGTATATTGCGGTCACCTTTTATTTCAATTATAAACACAAGCATACAAATGGACCAAACTGAAGGAGATGATTGTTCAAAATGCAACACCTTCACAAAAGTTAACACAACAGCACGACACATAAAACTTTTGTTCGATTTTTGCGATTATCGAGAATGAATTGATAGAACTATATTTACCATCTCTGCGTTTCCTGCTGTCGGCTGAATCTGAAATATTAAAGGACATTAGTTATAAAGTTGTTACAAATGACAAAATGATAAGCTAATTTCAGGTAGTGTGAATCGCGTTCTACCAATTTATAAATATATAATGAAAGTAATAATAAAATGGAAAACGACATCTGTGTTTCTTATCAGTAAAAGTGGTTATAAATAACAATCTTGTCAAGTTTTAAGTTTAAGATATAAAACTGATATAATTACCGTCAGAAGAATCGTCTTCGCTGCTTTCGCTTGAAGCTAAATATAAATTGGAAACATGTTTAATTATGATATAAAAATGTATTTTTTCTGTGTATCTGGTCAAGTTTAAGGAGTTTTGTTTGTGAACAAAAATGCAATGACTTATTGTCACATAAAAACTATTCTTAAAACATACTTTTCCCTAAAAAAAACCCACCAAAAACAATTTGTAAGCTGATCATTTTATACTCCGAGGATATGTTTTAAATGCCAAATACTTTTTTTCCGGAGAAGCATCATTCATATGTTTTTCCCATATTTGTAATATGTTATCGTTTGTTGGATAAAAGCAATTACGTTTCCTTGACTTTAACACTAATGAACTTCCTTTTTGTCTTCATTTTCATAGCATATCCAAGATCTACATAAGTAGCCTATCTTACTAACATACAACATAGTATATTGCGGTCACCAATTATTTCAATTATAAACACAAGCATACTGGATGGGGTGATGAGGTGCATTTTTCTACATATCGTGTATCCCTCCATGCATATTATTTGCGCCCCTCAATGCCGATAATTTGTACCCCACCTTTTTGTTGTACAAATAGACTGAAGTTAATGTCATTCAGATCCTTATATTATATAACATGATCGATTGATATCATGGGTGTATTTGAAATGTTCCTGTCATTTAATAAATGACCATTTGACAACATTTCTTTTCTCTGTTGTTTTTTGTTTATGAGATATATACAACAAATAACAAGCTACAGTCGCTAAGCTGGATTACCGTGCTAACACAAAGTATATTGCGGTCACCAATCATTTCAATTATAAACACAATCATACAAATGGACCAAAGTGGTGGAGATGATTGTTCAAAATACAAAACCTTCACAAATCTAACACAACAGCACGATCATAAAACTTTTGTTCGATTTTGCGATGATTGAGAATGAATTTATAGAACAATATTTACCTTCTCTGCGTTTCCTGCTGTCGGCTGAATCTGAAATATTAAAGGACATTAGTTATAAAGTTGTTACAAATGACAAAATGATAAGCTAATTTCAGGTAGTGTGAATCGCGTTCTACCAATTAATAAATATATAATGAAAGTAATAATAAAATGGTAAACGACATCTGTGTTTCTTATCAGTAAAAGTGGTTATAAATAACAATCTTGTCAAGTTTTAAGTTTAAGATATAAAACTGATATAATTACCGTCAGAAGAATCGTCTTCGCTGCTTTCGCTTGAAGCTAAATATAAATTGGAAACATGTTTAATTATGATATAAAAATGTATTTTTTCTGTGTATCTGGTCAAGTTTAAGGAGTTTTGTTTGTGAACAAAAATGCAATGACTTATTGTCACATAAAAAATATTCTTAAAACAGACTTTTCCCTAAAAAAACCACCAAAAACAATTCGTAAGCTGATCATTTTATACTCCGAGGATATGTTTTAAATGCCAAATACTTTTTTTCCGGAGAAGCATCATTCATATGTTTTTCCCATATTTGTAATATGTTATCGTTTGTTGGATAAAAGCAATTACGTTTCCTTGACTTTTACACTAATAAACTTCCTTTTTGTCTTCATTTTTATAGCATATTCAAGATCTCCATAAGTATCCTATCTTACTAACATATAACATAGTATATTGCGGTCACCTTTTATTTCAATTATAAACACAAGCATACAAATGGACCAAACTGAAGGAGATGATTGTTCAAAATGCAACACCTTCACAAAAGTTAACACAACAGCACGACACATAAAACTTTTGTTCGATTTTTGCGATTATCGAGAATGAATTGATAGAACTATATATACCATCTCTGCGTTTCCTGCTGTCGGCTGAATCTGAAATATTAAAGGACATAATATATAAAGTTGTTAAAATGTTATAATGATAAGGCTAACAGAGTAATTATAAGCTAATTTCAGGATAGAATTTTACCATTAAAAGATAAATAAGGAGAGTAATCTTAAAATAGAATATGACATCTGTGTGTTTTATCAATAAAAGTAGTTATAAATAAACAATCTTGTCAAGTGTTAAGTAAAAGATCTATAACTGATATAATTACCGTCTGCTGATCCCTCTTCACTACTGTCACTTGGAGCTAAATATAAATGAAAAACATGTTTTATTAAGATATAAAAATGTATCTTTTGTTTGAAAATAAAGTGCAGTGACTTTTAATTTTAAGCTAATTTCAGGTTGTGTGAGTCAAATTCTATCATTTAATAAATGAATAAAAAAAGTTAGTATAAACTACATCTTTGTATTTTTTATTATTAATAGTGTTAATAAAATACCAGTTTTAAATGATCACAAGGTAAGGTAGATGATATAGTTACCGGCAGACGAATCGTCCTCGCTGCTGTCGCTGGAATCTATATCCAAATTTAAAGAATGTTTAATTATGATATAAAAATGTATCTTTTCTGTATATTTGGTAAAGACTTAGAGAAATTGTAAGCTAATTTCAGGTAGTCTGAGTCAAATGCTATCATTTAATAAATAGATAAATAAAAATGTGAGCATAAGCTGCATCTCGGTATATTTTTTAATTATTAATAGCGTTAATAAAATACCAGTTTTAAATGATCACAAAGTAAGGTAGATGATATAATTACCCTCAGATGAATTGTCTTCGCTGCTCTCGCTTGAAGCTAAATATAGATTGATAACATGTTATGATATAAAAACGTGTTATTCTGTATATTTAAAGTCCTTTTTCATATGAAACGTCATTGATATGTTTTTCCGTTTCCGTTTAATAAACATGTTTTCCAGACTTTAAACTGCAGACATTATTACATTATCTGCATACAAAAAGAACTAGAATTGTTCAATCAACCTCTCTCGATACATTATGTACTGGTTAATCATACGTCAGTATACTTCAGTATTACAATAATGAGGTTTGTCAATGAATGTTACGAATACGGACCTCCCCCGTTCATATTGGGTTCCTAAACATCGCAAGAATCCATATAAAAACCATTTCATTGCTGGCTTGTCTAACTGTTCAACCAAACTTTTGTCCAAACTTCTTCTAATATACAATTCTTAGTAAGTTATATTTGGGTTAAGTCTTCCTTTGATACCATTTACGCAGAGTTCGTAGTACGCTGACTTTAAAGAACGCTTTCGATCTACCTTCAACACTCTCTTCTTAAAAAAAAATTCTTCAATGGCTACGTCTGATTTTTCAATCCTGTATACCGCCATACCCCATTCCAAAATAAAAAAAAGTACGTCTTCGTATTATAGGTATGATAGCTTTTAATATTTGTACGGCGTTGGAGATATATTGCTGTGAACTACACTGAAAATATTTGACGATGAAAAATACGTACGTGCAAATCAAAGAAGTATGAGGAGGGCGAAATCATTAAAAATTCTCAAGCTTCTATTTGACAACATCCTCCAACGGACTTTTTTTATGATAGCCAAGAGATCTCATTGAGAAATGAAGCTGGACGTGTTTAATGCTCGTTGATTTGCCTGTTAGTTCCGTTACTTGATACCTTGCTTTCATTTAAAAACGTGACATTACGCTTACTCTTCCGGGACACCTGGTATTATTATTCTTGTACTTTTTCAAAAGTCTGTGTGTAAATCTTTCTTTTATTCATATTTTTGACCAAGTTTTGATTGAATTTGTGTTTGGGTTATGATTCTGTTGAGTCGCCGGTATTTACATTTTTGTTCTTGTTTGGTCCTGCTTTTTTCGGAATCAAAAATAAAATAATAACTCTTACCCCGTCTGCGAGTCCTGATTAGTCCAGCCTCTGAAATAAACACAGTAGATTACCTTATATTCATCTCAGTGTAATTTTTAGTATGTGCATCAATAAGGAAAATTAAAATGAGAAATAACTTAATGGATTCGAAATACAGATTAGTGATCTTTACAATACTCTAATTTATACGTCATATTTTCCAAAATGTTGTGAAGGTCCTGCAGGTTGAACTGAAAACTAATTATCACAAAAGTCGTTTTGAATAGCGCTATTGTGTATATTTGTCTACATTTTTTTTTATATTGGTGTGTGTCCGACTTAGTTTGCGAACTTCAGTCTCCATGGTTTGCCGTAATCCTACAGCATGGCAACCGTCTAAATTTACATGAATTGTTTTAATTTAATTTACTAAATGGTTTAATTGGCGAGTTCTTCTGTCGTTTTATACTTTCCATCTTTTATATATATATATATTTTTATAATTATCGTTCTTTTGAATTTCGGATCTCTTCCACCAAGAATCGTACAGGGAAGACGCAAGTGTGAGCGTGTTCTTCGGTTACTATCGTTTAATGTCTTCGCATGAAAGTAATGCATGTTTCTTTTACTTCTTGTTCATTACGATATGTGTATACCTAAAAACATTATTAGTCTAAAAGGATGTTTAATGTAAAATATACTTACAGTTAGCTAAACTAATAAACAACAAAAAACAAAAAAAAGAAAAAACAAACAACCCCCCCCCCAAAAAAAAAAAAAAAAAAAAAACTTACCTAATGACATATTATCGACCGATTTTTCTGCCTCGTTGTCTATCTGTATGAAAACAATTAACAACGAATAACCTTCATGATAGCCAAAAAATAATACAGTTACATATGACGTGAAAATTAATTGCCACAACATACTATAAAGAAAGGTAACACTGTTTTATGTTTCGATTAATTATTCCCTTTAAAAATCATCAATTTTGTATAAGTTAATGATAAATTAAGATAAAACATCTGTTACAATTAATACCTGAAGTTTCATGCGACGTTAAAGGGCGTTGAAATCTATTTCAACTGTAACACAGTTACTTACGGATTTTACCATCGATTTTCAAGATATCGTCACTGACTAACGAATCTAAGGTTGATGAAAATTATGGGGAAGTTCATGGTCGTCAAAAGGATCTCATTCAGGAATATTCTATTTCATTTTGGGATATGAAGTTGGACGTGTTTGCTGCTTGTTAGTTTGCTCGTTGTTGTATACCTTGTTCTCATTTGAGAACGTGACATTACATACTTGGATTAACCAATAACTTGATGGCGGATGTCGTCAATGCAGCAGAAGTCTCTTACTCTTCCGAAGCATTTGGTCTTATTATCCTTGCATTTTTTTGTCCGGGAATCTTCATATCATTTCTTTTAATTGAATTTGAACAGGGCAATTCTGCTGATGCTACGTGTGTGCAACGCTGCGTTGTACTACTGGAAAATAGTGGCAACAAAATGACGTCTTTAGAATCACAGGACTGTTGGCCCCAATTTGAAAGCCGGTTAAATTACTATAAACCACACGTCTGGTCCGTTCCCCCTTCCTTACCCAAGTACCATTAGAAACCATTACAATTTCGCAACTAACACGATTCCGAGCTGCGGCGCAACATTCGTCAAGACGTTTAACTCCCCTCAACGCTTTCACGCTCTGCACATTCTGTCTCCATGATGCATACAAAATCGGCACTTGTCTGAAAAAAGTATTATATTATTACTGTCTGGTCCAATGACCTCGTTGAACTCAGCTCAAGTTCTGATTATCACGGTGACCGCGCAATAAATGTGTCCAAGGCTGGAATGCCGCGCTTCTATTTGTAGTATGTTTTCAACTTGTTGCGGACTATTTGAGGAGACAAACGAAGCTCTAACTATGTATTGTACTTGTCTCTACTGCGCATACGAATCGATTACACAATTCTATTAATGGTTTACGACGACTAACTCTCGCGTCGGTTTCGCGGTGTCGGACGCTTCGGAGACGATCGGGGGTAGATTTAATTTGATTTAAACTTATTACAACTGGTAAAAGTTCTTAACACTGCAACTGCAACGCTGTTCCACCTAACGCCGAGATTCTTCAACCAGGATCAACCCTTTCCTCTGTGTATGTGACAGTCACGACATAAACTGATAAATAGCAAGATTTGCTGAATTGTAGGTTTCGAGAATCTAAGGCACAGGTGTCAGTTTGATTTTTAAATGAAGATTTAAGTTAGTTGTAAGGAACATCGTCGGGCTCTTCAATCTATACAGGCTTAACGCTTGAATTGTTACGTAAGTATTTATATCGCATTCCAAATTTCGGCGTCCACTATCAAATTTTCATTTTTACATATTGTTTCCAAAACTTTTTGTCTATAATTTGAAAATACAAGGTGGTTTTTAAATTTATCAAAATTTTAAGTAACAGTCGCTTGATGCGGTCAATAAGATACCAAATATTGAAATCAAATTAGTGTTGAGGTTTTTCTTTCTTTGAAGGCATACAGTTCATATCAAAGGGATAAAGAGTTCAGAATGATATCAACTTACGGCAGTTTCCCTCTGGATAATAGATGACCGGACATTCGTCAACAAGGAACAGCACAACACCGCAAGGACAACGAAATTAAAGTAGGCTAACTTCATCTTTCTTCTGAAGTGAAAACAGTCCTTAGAAAGCTTTGAAATTGTGTATTGGAATGAATGAAAGTTTCTTATTTATAGAGATATTGCTAAAAAATGCGCAAGTCAGTTTAAGTTACTCTATGGCTGTTGGCGTCACTTAAAACACGATGTTATCTTAATTCACGATACTGTTTTGTTTATCAACCTGTCATTACATTAGATAAAAGAAAAAACGTAAGTGATATGCCATCAATATCATGAATAATATAAAACCATTAGGTTAAGTGTCTGTACTTTAGATGATTCAAATAGTACCATTTACAATAATATCCATCGGCACAAAATAATCCTCTTTCAAGCTTATCGTAACTTCGTTATCATTTTTTTCAACTTTATGATCATTCCCAGAAAATGTTATCGATAATATGTAGAAAGAATAATTAGCCGGTAGGTAAAGTGTATGTACTTTAGTTGATGCAAATGGCACTCTTCGCAAACAAATATCCCTCGGCACACAAAACAATCTTCTTTTAAGCGTATCGTATCCTATCGTATCGAAAACTTTTAGAAGGAGTATTTACAACGTCAAATATTAATGAACAGGTTTTGTGGCTTGAAGCGACAGTTAGGTATATCAGAGACACATTTAATAGTTGTTTTTAACTGTTTTTAAGAATGTCTTTGTAATATCACTCCAGGATATCGGTCAAACATTCTTTCTCACGCAGTTTGATTATTACTAACAAACCAGCGAATTCCCTTCTCTGTCCTTACAAAAGGCACAAAATTTGCGCCCATTGCAATATGTCTATCAAACTGTACACTATGTTAAAGCATTAACCACACCTTTATGTATCTTATTTTTACTTTTTTTGTAATCATAACGCGAAAATTATCTATCTAACAAAATGAAATATCCACGGAATAGATGATTTTATAACAGTTTTTCCAAATGCCACTTGCGCATTCGAGTATGACCACATATGATCTGTA